TTTTTTTTTTTTCACTTTCTAGATGTTGAAATTTTTTAATAAAAATTTAGTTATAAAAAATTGACATATCTTTTAATTTAATTTCAAAAGCATACAAAATTCTATAAATACTTAGAATATATATGAAAATTAATTTGTTATATATTTAATAATTTTTAGAATTTTTGTAACAAATAAATTGACATTAGAAATTAAAAAAAAAATTAAAAATGTAATTTTTTTAGAACTAATTTTTTTGTTAAATAAAATTAAAAAATATTTAAGTGACTGTTAACTTTAATTTCATAAAATATATTTATAGTTTCATTATTCATGTATTGTTTGAAATTTTATTTCATTTGAAAAAATTATTCTAAATAATTTTTTAATAACTCCAATTAGACGTTTCAAATCAAACGTCGAGCGCCACATGTTCATAATAATATTTTATACCTCAAATGTGAGCAATAACAATATGTTTACATTATTTCAACTGTCAATCGTAATTTGTGAGTAGTTTTGAAAACTATCTAGGATACTTGGAAGAAGATTATTAAATTGTTTCACTACATTATAAATGTACTTGGTGAATTAATTTAAATAATAAATATGGAGGTTAATGATGTTCCTTGCGAGGAAAAAATTTTCAAAGTTAAAAATGAGGTGAAGGTTATGTTTTGTAAAAACAAATTTTTTTTATAAATTATGTATAGATAATTTAAATATTATTTAAAAAAAATAGAAATTTTATCTTAATTTTTATATTTTTTAGGAATTTAAAATTGATGAAAATGATTGTCAAGGATCTTATTTACGTCAATCCATATATTTTGTGAAGGAAGAGGAACCTGAAAATAATTCAATAATTACTGAGGAAATTACTGTTGTGCCTGGTATGGTTGAAATATTTTTATTAGAAAAAAATAATTAATCACAACACTGAAATTGACAAATAGGATACTTTTTTAATTTTTATAAAAATTAAATTATGAAATAATTCTACTTTTAAAAATTAAAAAACTCTAAAAATATTTTTTTTATAATAAATTAAATTATTATAAAAGTCCCAAAAATTTTCAGATTTTTCCTGATTTCAGTATTATTAATTAATTAAATATTCAATAATTTTATTGCTTAATTTTATGGTCAATTGATTTTTTTTAACAAAAAAATTCAAAAATTAGTAGACATTTTACAATTTTTTAAATCATTAAAAATATTTTTAAAAAATTGCACTTGGAATTTTTCAAATTTTCAACATGTCAATTTTTTTAAAATAATTTTTTTTAATAAAAAAATTCTAAAAATTTCACAATGTCGGTTAATTTAATTTTCATCAAAAATTAACTTTTAAAAAAATTACCAAAGTTTTTATTTTTTAATCATTGAAATTTTTTTTTTTTCATTAAAAAAAATAAACTAGATAAATAAATAATATATTTATTGTTGCAAGAATACATCCCGTATTCATATAATTGGTTATAAAAATATACACAGAAACAATTAATACCTAATCATTTGAAATCATTCTGCTAAAATTAAAAAAAAAAAAAAAAAAAACAGTCAAATTATTACTTAAAAATAAATAGTGAGATCATTAAAAATTTATAAAATTAATTACTAAGTTATTGACATAGAAAGGCCAGTTTTTCAATCCGACATAAAATTTTATCCAGGATAAAATTATTATTTCCAGTATATTTGTATATATGAAATATATACAAATATATTTCATAATTGAATAAAATTTTAATAATTTCACATTTAATAATTTCCAGAATTTATCAAAGAAGAACCTGAAGATACTGATGATGAAAATTCAAACATTTCAATTTCTATTGAAGAGTCCGATACCGAAAAAACCACCACTACCTTACCCGGAACTTCAATATCAAAACGTACAAGATCCAAGCAAAGTCCAAAATCTTCACCAAAAATCAGTAACACAAAAAAGAAGACTAAAAAATTAAATCCAAAAAGTATCAATTCAGAATCAAAAAAATTTGCAAAAAGCACATTACAAATTGAACCGGCGGAAGTTTATACATGTGAAGTATGTTCCGCAAAATTCCATCGAAGAGGAAACTTCAATAAACACAAAGTAGTCCATACCGGCGAAAAGCCTTTTGGATGTAAATTATGTCCCTTGAAATTCAATCAAAATAGTTCTCTGAAGCGACACATGCACACGCATTCTGAGGAGAAACCTTACGCTTGCAATATGTGTCCCTGGAAATTCCGACTGAACCATCAGCTACAATCTCACCTGAGCACCCACATGGAAGACAAGTCCTACACTTGCGATATCTGTTCCGGAAAATTCCGCCAGAAACATAGTTTAAAAAGACATCTTAGTATCCACTTCGATGAAAAACCTTTTTCTTGCGATGTTTGTTTACGAAGCTTTCGGGAACGCGGTCAAATGAAGATTCACAAGCGAATCCACTCTGGAGAACAACCCTACGCTTGTGAAATTTGTCCTGCGAAGTTCCGCGTAAGAGGTCTGTTGAACAGACACAAACTAGCTCATGCTGAAGAAAAACCTTATTCTTGCAATTTTTGTCCTGCGGCGTTTCATTTAAAGTCTCGGTACAAAACCCACATGCTTATTCATACAGGAGAAAAACCCTACCAATGTGAGGTTTGTTCTGCGCAGTTCAGACATAAGTGTTCGTTAAATAAACACACTTTGATTCACACTGGAGAAAAACCTCACACTTGCAAGGTTTGTTTGAAGCAATTTCGCGAAAAAGGGACTTTGGATAAACATATGGTTGTTCATATCGAAGGTAAACCTTTTGGCTGTGATTTCTGTTCTTTCAAATCCCGCCGGAAGAAAGGTTTGAATGCGCATATGAAAATTCATTTAGATGATTTTCCGTTTGAGAAATTTTGAGAAAAGTATGGAAATATTTATGACACTGAAATCTCCAGACAGTTGATAATTTTTAATTACAAATATTTTTTGAAAATTCTAAAAAACCAATGCAATTTTTTTTAATGAAAATTAAATTAGCTGACATATAAAAATTTATGGGGCATTCCATGTGAAATGATAAAATGACTAGAATTAAAAAATTTCTCTAATTCATTCTAATTTATTATTAAAAGTTTATATTTTACTAATTTGTAAAGAAAATTTTTTTTAATCAATAAGAAAATCGATTTTTCTTTCCTAGTAACTTTTCAGTCGTACTAACTTGTATTCGGGTCAAATGTTGTTTTAATAGTTTTAACAACAAATTCATTTTATGTTTTTTATTAACTAACATATTTATTATTATAGTTTTTAAGAACAAATTTTTTTATGTTCGTTATCAATTAACATCTAAGTTTATCAAGATCGTGTTGTCAGCATGCTAAATCCTTTATTTGTGTTTTTTAATTAGTTTTTTTTAATTATCCTAAATAATTTATAGTTAAATATATAAACAATAATGTTTCTAAGGTTGAAATAATATAAAAGTCTTTTTAATAAACAACTTGATGTAGACATTTTGTACTTGTCCCACCAGTCACAATAAAAATAATTTTTTTAATTGTTTCTACGTAGGTAATCAGTCTGATTCTTCATAATATTGAATGTTTGTAGGATAAATTTTGTATTTTCGAGGGAAGTATTTTTTTTTAGTTTAGTGGTCGAACTGAAATTGGACTTTAAGTATACCTTTGGTAAGAGAGAAGGATTTTTCTTAGTCCCACCAGTCACACTCAGTCAAATGACAATTACGAGAAACTTAAAAGGTAATCAAGGTTTTTGACAAAGGGATATTGTTGATTAGTTATTCTTCTATATTATAAGATAAAGCTTATTATAGTATAAGTTTCAGTCACATAATTATATATAATTGATAAAATTCCAGAGTCAAATGTCCCACCAGTCACTATGGAATGCCCCTTATATAATTTTTTTTTTTTTCATTGAAAAAATTATAAAAAAATAAAAATGAAACTTTATATGTAAAAAAAAAAATTCAAGTACAATTTTTAGTCATGTTAATATTTATTAGATGGTTCTGTGGATATTATGAAATAAAAGTAGATTTGATATTCGTTTATAACATGTTTGATATATTCTGTTAATTGTTCAAAAGGTGAAAACTTAGAGTATAATAATCATAATGCCACCAGGAAACCAAGCTGCTGCCTTGCAATCAAGATATACATTAAACTCCAAAAATTTTTTTGGAGGACATGAGATTTTTTCTCATGGCCAAAGTATTAAAAGGTGGGAGATTTTAGCTTTCTTCGTTTTCTTATTCGGCCGAGTTCGGCTCATTTCGCAGTCCGCGTCCGCCATATTTATTTACGTGATACATAACCGCTAAAATGATAGTTCTATTATTTTTCTTAATTAATAATACTCTAACAATAAATTTAAACTTAATTAATTATTCATTAATTATTTTATTATCTAAAAACATTAAAAATAAAAAATAAATGACGTTTTCGTAAGAAAACTGAATTTAAATTATTCTATGCGCATGCGCAGAAGCCATGAGATTTTTTCTCATGGCCAGAGTAAATAAGGTGAGACAAAACACCCATGTCCTGAAGGGTTAATATCTTCTTTTCAGGACTCGCCAGGCTTTTCCAAAAATTTTACTGCTTAATTATGATATTATAAAGTACCAATAATATGCCAAATTTCATTAAATTCTGGATGTAAATTCTAAAACCGGTAGTAATATACCTTAAATAATTATTTTAATATCCACAGCCGTCCATCTGGGCCCATAACCTATTAATATTTATTAGATGGTTCTGTAGATATTATGAAATAAAAGTAGATTTGATATTCGTTTATAATAACGTGGTTGATATATTCTATTAATTGTAAACAAAAAATGTGAACTTAGAGTTCAATAATCATAATATGCCACTAGGAAACCGAGCTGCTGCCTTGCTATCAAAATTCTGGCCACAAAAATGGAAAATTTAAAAAAAAAAAAGAATTTAGTTAGATTTTTATAATTTTTTTTTCTTTCAATTTTTATGTTTTTATGTTCCAAGAGTTATTTTTTATCAAAAATTCAAAATTTCAAATTAAAGAAGAAAAAAAATTAAAAAATTTGATAATTAACACCTTATTCTATCTAAAAACAAATTTATTTCTTATGTTTTCAGTAAATTTTTGCATTCCTATTATTTCTAATGAAAATTAAGTTAGCCGACATCTAAAAATTTTAAGAATTTTTTTTTTATTGAAAAAATTATTACAAAAAAATTAAAAAAAAAATTTTCACTTGTAAAAAACTTTAAAAACTGCAAATGCAATTTTTTAAAAATATTTTTTTGTTCTAATTTAATTATAAAAAAAAAAAATTAAAAAATTAAAACCTTCGGCTAACTTTAGTATCATTTATTTCTCAGATAATAATAGTAAAAAAAATTTTTTTTTACGCCCTCTTAGTATCAGTAAAATGCAATTTTTTAAAAATAATTTTTTGGAAAAATTTGTCAGTTAAAAAAAAAATTTTAAATTGTTAAGTGACGGCTAATAACTTTAATGTCATGTAAGAGAGTAATTAATAATTATTTTTTTTTTTACCTGATTTAAATCAAGAAAAAAATCCTGTCCCTCCAGGCAATTAACTGACCATAGCATGGTCAAAATTTTCACTTCAACCACTGACTGATAAGCCAGTAAATATATTATTCTATGCATAGAATATACATTTTGGTATACTAAGAATCTCAGATTATGTTTTTATAATGTTGACTATGAGTGTTTACGAACTGTGAAAGATATTTCAAGACTAATGAAGAAAAACTAAATTACAAATTTACTTTCTTCTTTGTGAGAATAGATAATAAGATCAAGATTAGAAAAAATGAACATGGAAGTTTTGCCATTTGAAACAGTGGTCATAAAAGTTGAAAAGAATGATGAGGTATGGTTAGGTTTCATCACAATATTAGCATTTACTTGATCATTTTTCAATTTTATTCAACAAACAAATTTGTTCCAAAAAAATGTTTTTAAAAAATTGCATTTTTACTGTTTTTACAATTTTTACAGTTTCTATATCAGTTTTTTTTTTTCTTCTTTTATTAAATGAAAATTAAGTTAGCCGACATTTAAAAATTTTAGAATTTTTTTTATTGAAAAGATTAAAAAAAAATTTCAATTGTAAAAAATTTGAAAAATTATAATTGCAATTTAAAAAAAATATTTTTTACTTCTAATTAAATTATTTAATAATTAAAAAAAATCAAAAACGTTGACTAATTTTAATATTTTTCTCTTCACTATAATTCAATTGTTACAAATGTTTTAAAAATTAGAAATATCTGCTAATTTAATTTTCATTTAGATTTCTTAAACCAAATTTTTTAATTATTATTTAAAAATTAAAATATGTAACTGAGATTAATTTTTTTTCATGACATATTTTTAGGAATGGCGAATAAATGAAGTTCTGGAAAATCCTTTAGATATTGGAAAATTAGAAGATGAACCTGAAGGAAATTCAGTGACTTTAAAAGATACTATTGATGTACCTGGTATTATTTTTTAATTTTGATTAAAAAAAAAAAAAAAATGTTTAAGTATATCTATAGAAAATTAGTGAAGTAAAGTTTTTTCTTAATATGTAAATATTTTTATATTTAGATGTCGAATTTAATGACAGTGTAAATTTTACATTTGGAGGATCAGCATCAGTTTTAAATGTTCAAAAAATTGACAACGTAAGTTTGATTTTTTAAGTAATATTTTTAATCAGTAAATTAAACATTTTAAATTATTCGTTTCTTAAAAACGTAATAAGACATTCTTATTATTGTAAATAAGCGGTCAGAAATAACTAGCGTACAATTGGAGAGTGAGTGCATTTCATCATTAATTTAGTGATATTTATCGACATAATATAAAATATTTTAGTTTTATTATGTTAATTAAAGATCAGATTCCAACTTTATTGAAAAAATAAAGTTAAATTATAAGTTTTAATATTATGTTAAGACCGGTCAATTATTGGATCCGTCAGAAGCCCTTTACCCAGTAAAAAATTCATTCGGTCATTTATTAGACCCTCTGATTTTATCACAATCCAATTAATCACCGTATAATTATAATACTAACTTCTTAACTCCAAAATTAAATCTGTCAAGTGTTTAAAGTACTTTAGTCATTCAATATTTTGTAAACATAAAAATAATCATTATAAAATGTATATTTACAATTAAAATAATACTTAAAATCTTTTTTGATTATTAAATTTTATTTTGTTGTAATTTTTTTAGTGAACGGTTATATCAAAGAACGAATTATTAGAAGAAAAAATTGCTAAGCAATTAAAAAAATAAAAAAGAGTTACAAGCTAGTAAAAAAGCTTTAATTGAAAAAAAGAAGGAGAAGAATAAAAAAATTTCAAGTGAATCAGAAGAATTATCGTCATCAAAATGAATTTGTGATTATTTGTGACCTAAAGAAATGTGACTTTATGTTAATTGTTGCTATTATTTATATTATTTTATAAAAAAGTACGATTTAAAATTATATTTTATGTTTAGTTTTGTTAAAGATGTCGTTAATACTTCAAAAGTATTGCATAAATTTAATTACATACATGTAGTTTACAAAATTACTTATAATTATTTGAGCGGTGAATTAATTGGAGAACAGTCGGTCATTTATTGGGTTTCTTCGGTCAATAATTGGTGATTTTAGTATTTCAAGATTCAAATAACAAAATTAATATAACTTTGTTAATTTTTATTATAAATAGTTATTAATTATTATTAATTAAGTATTTAATTTTAATAAAATCCATTACAAATTGTTTTTAGTAGGTTAATAGATTTTTTATAGCTTAGTACAGAAAAAGAAGACCTTAATCGGTCAATAATTGGTGCATTTACCCTATTTAAAAAAAAAAATTTTATTTGGAAAAATTTCTCTTGGATTTTTATTTTTATTTTTTCTACAAAATTATTTTTTTCAAATTAAAATAAAAAAAAACTTTTAATTTTTTTTAAATATTACTGGAAATTTTAGTTTACCATTTTTTAAAACAGTGCACTTATTAAAAAAATATCAGCGACAAACTTTTGGCTCACAATTTTACTTATCAAAAAGTTTTATCATATTTCTAAATTTTACTTCTTCATTATTGATAATATAATTTTCTTCCTTCTATTTTTTAGAGCTTAAAAAAAAAACTTAAAATGATACTGTTGTATTCAAAAATTTTGTAGATATATTGCGGCAAAAAACACTAATATGTTCAAAATGCCAAATTTTTCTACCATCGTTTATGAGCATTCGTTTTTGGTATCAGTTATTCGTCTGTGGCAGGAATTACCAACAGAAATTACAAATTCATCGTCACTTCAAATTTTCAAAAATAAAGCATATGAATTTTTTATGGATAAAGAAGCAAGCTCTTGACAATTTTTTATTATGTTTGCAACTTCTTAGTATTTGAATATTACATATACTACTATTTATCTGTATAAATTTATATTAACCTTGCATAATATTGTTTAGATTATGTACCTTTATGTATTACAATATTTCTCTTTCTGTTCACTTAACATAGAATTATTTTTCTAATGTTTTAAATATACATTATAATACTTACATGATTAAATAAAACTGTTACATTTTTGTATTTTCCATTAAGCCTTATTGCCTTGGCATATAAATTAAATAAATAAATAAAAAAATAAATATATATTTTCAAACACTCGGATAAGGTAAAAGACCCAGTTATTGACACTGGTCTAGTTACTGATCCTTGCAATTTTATTTTAATTAAAAAATAAAACAAATCAACTCTAATAAATTAATAAGTATAATTTTTGAATTATAAATTTTAAGATAATTGATTTTTTGAGAACATTTTATTTTTTTAATTAAAATAAAATTGCAAGTGTCAAACAACTAGGCCAGTGTCAATAACTCTGTCTTTTACCTTATTGATTATTTTTAATTGTCAATTTTAGAACAGTAAAAAATTTTATATTTTTAGGAGTTAAAGGGAAATCGAGATTATCCGATAGATATTGAAGAAATCAAGATCGAAGAAACTGAAGATCCAATTTATCCAAATATTACTGATGTATCAAAGAAGACAATCAGAAAAAGTATTACAATTTCCTACATATTAATAACAATAATTACTGAGCAATATTTAATTGAACATAATATTTCTTAGATGCAGTAAAAGATCTCCAGGAAATTCCCACAGAAGAAGCTCCAAAAAATGAATCCATGTGGAAAACATTCAAGTGTGATAAATGCGCAATAGAATTTGTCAACGAAAGTTCTCTGGCGACTCACGCGAAGAAATACAAATTCAACTGCGACGTCTGTCCAAAATGTTTCATATCAAGACAAGGATTATGGTACCACCTGAAATCGCACTACGGTCCCAAACCATTTAAATGCGAAGTATGTCCGGCTGATTTTGAATTAAAATCCGGGTTGATAGAGCACGCAAAGATTCACGCAGGAGACATGAGCTTCTCTTGTACCCTTTGTGCCTACAAAACTCGGTACAAAAGTTCCTTGAACAGACACGCTCGTGTTCATACCAGAGAGAAGCCCTTTGCTTGTGACCTCTGTTCCGCGACCTTCCGGGAGCAAGGTCACTTAAAGAGACACAGTAGGATTCATACTGGAGAGAAGCGCTACACCTGTGATGTCTGTTCTGCAAAGTTCAGGGAAAAAAGTACTTTAAGGCAGCACATTATTATTCACACTGGGGAAAAACCTTACACTTGTCCTGTTTGTGCGGCAAGCTTTAGGCAGCAGACTCATTTGGATAGACACATGGTCATGCACAATGGAGAAAAAAGTTATGCTTGTCAATTTTGTCCCTTGGAGTTCCATGGACTTAGTAGTTTTGCTAACCACGTACTCACTCACAATATTGAAAAGGAATAATTTTTTTTTTTTTGGAAAATTTTAATTTTTTAGAAATTTTTTTCTAAAAGTTAAATATTTTTTTTTTTTTATTATTTTTATTAATAAGTAAAGACAGAGATTTTTATTTTTATGAGGTTATTTTTTAAAATTAACACTGAGATAAATATAATAGCGTTGAATATTAGTATTGAGATACCTAGAGACACATCTGATGTTTTTTATAATTTTTTAAAGAAATTTATAAATATGATGACATTGAAATTAGATCCACCGACATTTGAAAATTTTTATAATTTTTTTTATTGAAAAAATTATTAAAAGAAAAAATTTCACATGTAGAAAATTTGAAAAATTATACGTGCAATTTTTTTTACTTGTAATTTAATTGTTGAAAAAAAAAAAAATTTCGAATGTTGGCTAATTTTAGTTTTATAAAGGCTAATATTTACAAGAGGGGTCAACTATTTTAATTTTCATTTTTTTTTAACGAAATTTCTATTTGATTTTATTGATTTATTTATTTTTTTTTTTGAAAAATACATAAAAAAATGATCAATTGAAAAAAAAGTTGATTATCACAATTTTAACAAATTTTCAAAAAAATTTATAAAGTTTTTAGAAAATTGTATTCAACTTTTTTTTTTTTTAAAGTTGGTTTTTGTATGTACTTTTCGAAAAAAAAAAGAATTTATCAAAAACATAAAAAAAAAAAGATAAAATAGAAATTTTATCTAAAAAAATGAGAGCCAAAATTTTTTTTCAACTTTTAATGGCAAAAAAGCTATCGAAATATTTATTTTTTTATCATAAATGCGCCGTAAAAACAAGCAGAATAAAAAAAAAAATTTGAAATTCGGTCCGATACTTTCGTATGAAAAAATTATTACAAAAAAATTAAAAGAAAAAATTTCACATGTAGAAGATTTGAAAAATTATAGGTGCAATTTTTTTTTAAGTATTTTTTTACTTAAAATTTAATTATTAAAAAAAAAAAACTAATGTTTGCTAATTTTAGTTTCATAAATTAGATATTTTACAATTTTTTTTTATTTCTTTAAAAATAAACTTCGCCTAGAAAATTATTTTTAAAAAATTTTATTGCTATCAAGCTATCAATTTATTTGTAAAAAAATTTCTAAAAATTTTCAGATGTTTCTCAATTTCAGTATCTTAAATTATGACAAAAAAATTAAAAAATTGACATGTAGAATTTTAAAACAAACTAAAAATGCAATCCTTCCTAATATAAAATAGAGATGAAATGTATGTGGCATCAAACTATTCGTAACGTGATTGGTTGAATATATCATAAGCATGAAAATATATGCAAACTCTATAGTCAAGGCGCGCGCTTGCGCGCGCGAATTCAAATTCTAGTTTTTTAAAAATTCATTTATAGATCTAATTTATTTAATAAATAAAGTCCTAAATGGTGTCATACTTGGTGATTTAAGTGTTTTGTAAAATAATTCTTGTATATACACAATAAAACTTTTTATACAATAAACATTTTTGAGCTGCGTCAGATTAAAAATAAATTTTGCTTTGCAGAATTATTCTTTACCGACGGAGTTTTTTTTTACTCATGTCATAATTTTTTATTACCTGGTTATGTTAACATGTTTATTTACAATTATAGATATTGTAAAGAAAAACACTCAGAGGCTAACAAGTGAAATTGCTTAAAAAATAAAAAAAATTAATGTTAATTAAATTTATTAACCAAGTTTTGTGAAAAATGAGTGCTGAAACTTTGCCGTTCGAAAACATTGTTGTTAAAGTTGAAAAATGTGAAGATGAGGTTAGAACTAATTAAAAAATATTTTATTGTTGTGATAGATTTGATATAAAAATTAAAAAAATTGACATAATAATTGATCATAATTTATGAGTTGATAGATTCCGAAAATTACTCAAAAAAATAAATATATAATGAAACTAAAATCAGCTGACAATTTTTTTAATTTTTATTACAAATCAATTGTTAAAAAATTTTTTTTTAATTTTCATTTGTAATTTTTTTTTAATAATTTTAAAATGTGGAATTTTTTCATTATAATTTTTTTTGATAATAATTTAGTTAAAAACTCCAAAAAATTGACTGTTGTTAATTTTAGAATCACAATAAATATTGTAATTACGAACACTGAGTACATTCAAAAAATTTTTTTTCAAATTTTTAAATTATGATTTTGAAATTGAGAGACATCTGATAATTTTTAGAATTTTTTTAATAAATAAATAATAGTAAGAAAAATTTTTTTTTTTTCAAATAGTTTTGTGAACGTGGACTTGGCGGAATTTTTACAGTGAAAGTGTTTTTCTTGGGATAATAATCGTTCGCAAGAAGTAAACTCCAATCGTGCGTCGAAGCTGACATATATGATTTTTAATTCTAAATTTTTTTTTACCTACTTTCCTGTAATTGACTTTATATTTTACATTTTCTAGGATTTCAATCAACAATGCCCTGAAATTCAGGAGAGTTGTGATGAACATAAAGATCCTTTACACGATTTCCCTATAGACACTGAGGAAGTTAAGGTTGAGATATCTGAAGATTCAGAACTTCTAGGAGACATTGCTGATGCACCCAGTAAGAATCATATTTTTAATAAAAGGATTAATCCGCACTTACAAGGCTGAAGAAAAAAATTTTTTAATAATTTCTTCTGAAGAAACTTTTTAATTAATTAATATGCAAACTAGCAACCTTGCAGTCACTATGTGACTACCGTGACTTATGAACTATAAATAAATAAAATTTTGCTTTATAAAATAATGACTTTTGTTAAATTGCACTGTACTTTCTTAACTATTGACATTTTTGAAGATATAAGCTCATTCCGATGTTACACTCATCAAGAGCTTTCATTTGAGTACCCACATGCATTTTTGATATATTCTTCATATATACATATATATATAATATATATAAATATATGAAATATATGAAAAATTGATGTGGGTACTCAAATGAAAGGTCTCGATGAGTGTAATGTCAGGGTGAGCTTATATCTTTAAAAGTGTCAATAGTTCACAAGATAGCTAAGTCAGTTCTTAATTATTAAGATTTTTCAAGATACAAGCTCATCCCGATGTTACACTCATCAAGAGTTTTCATTTGAGTACCCACTTGCATTTTTAATATATTTTTCATATATACATATACATAATATATATAAATATATGAAATATATGAAAAATTGGTGTGGGTACTCAAATGAAAGGTCTCGATGAGTGTAACATCGTGATGAGCTTATATCTTTAAAAATGTCAATAGTTAACAAGATACAAGGTCATTTCTTAATTATACATCTAGAGATAGAGCATTTTCGAATGCAATTTAAAAATTAAAATTTTTATAATTACCAAAAATTTGAGTCATTCAGTATAAATCTAAATTTGAAATTACATTGAAAATATTGGTTGTATAAAATTTTTTTTATAAAATTGTATTTGTAAAATTTTTTTATAAGATTAATATTTTCGGTAAAAATTTCGGAGCCAATATTTATAAAAAATTAATCCTTAGATCAATTACTAAAAATTCATTTTTCTAATAACTTTTTGAAAAAATTTTCAAATGAACTATTATAAAGTTTCTGCAATAGCTAATTATATGTAATTTTTCAGAAACTTAATTTTATTTTATTTCTAAATTTATTTAAGTCCTAGAAAAATAAAATTTCTAAAATATATTTTTATAGCAAAAATTAAATTAATAAAATTCCAAGTGCGTATAACTTCTGAATATTAAAAAAAAAAAATTATTAAATTAATCATGAAGTTAATTTTTTTAGGCCTGATAAAAATAGAAGCTGAAGAAGCTAAAGAATGTGCCATAAAAACAGAACCACCAAGTTCGCCAATTAACGCCATGGAAATGTTGGCTGATTTGAGAAAAGTCGCCGGAAAGAAGCACTTGGTGAAGAGAAAATGGAAGCGTCCCCGTAGCCAAAGAATAAAGAAGGATTGGTATCCGAAAAATTGGATTTGTGATGTTTGCTCTGCTAAATTTGCTTTCAAAAGTGGTCTTGCAAGACACGTGGTCTTGCACACGGACGATCGTCCTTTTGCTTGTACAATTTGTCCCAGGACATTTCGTTACCTGGATAACTTAAACAGACACCTACGAATTCACGCAACCGGGGAACAAAAAAGATATATTTGTAACGTGTGTTCCTTGGAATGTGCTTCTGGGCGTGGATTAGCAAGCCACAAAAGGAGTCACCTGAAGCCAAAACCTTTCATGTGCAAGATTTGTAAGTCTAGATATCATGCAGATATAGGTTTGAAACTACACATGCGGGTCCATACTCACAAATTTCCTTTTACTTGCGTAACTTGTTTGGCAACTTTTGACAAAAGGCTTCACTTGGTCAATCACATGAAGACTCATATCGGCGAAAAAATTTCTGGGAAGAAAACTTTCAATTGCGAAATTTGCTCCTGGACATGCCATCGGAAGTTTCAGATGACCAAGCACATGGAAATGCATGCTTTCGAAAATCTTTTCACTTGTGATGTCTGTTCTGCGAAATTTCGCCACAAAACGTCGCTGACTAATCATATGGCATTTCATAAGAATGAAAAATCTAAGTTGGTAAATTCTAGAGGCTCAAGAGGTCGTCGGAAGAAAACTTCTTTGGATGAGAGTCTGTCCGAGAAGAAAAATTTGAAGATGCAAAAAACTGTAGTAGAAAAATGAACAGTTATTTTTTACACGGAAAAAGGTAAACTGTAATCCTAATATAAAATTGAGATGAAATGTATGTGGCATCAAACTATTCGTAACGTGATTGGTTGAATATATCATAAGCATGAAAATATATGCAAAGTCTATAGTCAAAGCGCGCGCTTGCGCGCGTAAATTCAAATTCTAGTATTCACTTAAATTCCGGTTAATTTTTATAGTTTCAAACAGTAAAGCGGACATCGGGGTGGCAAAAATATAAATATTACAAAACTTAATGTAGAAAGTATAAAAGCCACAATCTAATTTAATATCCAAAATAAGTGATAGTTGTCACTGTAGTAAATAACGACTCTTTCATCTTAAAAAATTACAGTTTCAATATACAGTCCATATTATGAGAAGGGGAACTCAGTTTGTAAATATTGAGGTTTCTTGTATTAGAAATTTACTAACTTTATTTTATACTTTTTACATATTATAACATCATTTTTTAGGTACGAAATGATAAACATCAAAGTCTGAATTGTTAATTATTATACTTTAACATTTTAGACATTTACATTGCGAATATTACTGTTTGAAATAGTATTTTCTTCCATGTAAAGAATAAATTGTAACGTTTAAATTGTAAATATTATAAAGTGAATAGTAAAATTACGATTTTACTGTTTAAAATGGTAAATTTTAGCATGTTGATCATTACTTATTATAAATCGACTGTTATTTATTACAGTTTATACTCTTTTCCGTGTAAGAATTTCAAATTTTTTAATTTCTTCAGACTATTGTATTTTTTTTTATGTTACTGGAATTAAAAAATAAATTGAACTGATTAAAAATAAATTAAAATAATTTTTAATTATATGTGAACTATAAATAAATAAAATTTTGCTTTATTAAATAAAGACTTTTGTTAAATTGCACTGTACTTTCTTAACTATTGACGCTTTTAAAGATATAAGCTCATTCTGATGTTACACTGATCAAGAGCTTCCATTTGAATACCCACATGCATTTTGATATATTTTTCATATATACATATATATAATATATGTTAGCTGAGATGGGGACTCACTAAGCCCAAAACAATGGCAGACCATTATCACGCGTTTAACATTGTGGATCTGCCATCAAAATATTTTGTTTATTATAGTCTTAAAAACTTATATTGATAACGACAGACGTATTCATTGCGTATAAACATTAGCAGATAACAAAATCTGAGATACTACCTGGTCAGATGTCTATATATTACGATAGCAGTTTTACATTAATATAATTTACTTAATCACTGTATTTAATAAAATTAATATTTTTCATGTAGTCTATATACTAAACTTTTAAAGTTAAACGATAAAGAAGGAGATACATTACGAAAAAATCTTAAATATTAAGGTATACTGCTAAGAACAAAAAATAATTTTAATTTGTATTTTATTTTTTATATTTATTTATTTAATACAAAATTTAAACGGTTAGATAAATAAAAAACTGGTCCTGAGATTTTTTGGCATTGTAGAGTTGGCAAATAAATTTTTGAATGACATTAAATGTGTTTAGAAGTCTTGATGCTGCCATTGGAAGTCATATCAATTATGTCCTGTGACAGAGAGTTTACATGACGTTGAAAATCGTCACTATTTCGGCGTTTACGACTGTATTCTCCAAGAACTGATGAAATAAAATCTGTAATCATTGGTGGTGTTGAACATTCACCTTTAATTAGTTGTTGGCTACTTAAATTATCAGGTAATTTTGTTTTAAGTTATTCCTAAAATTTCTTCTCTCAAAATGGCAGCAGCTGCTTGCAAGGTGTCTTGGTCTTTTAAGTGCGCAAATAATGAGTCATCAATAGTTGAAATGCCTTTAGGAGCAACAACTTTTTTTTTGTTCGACACCAAAATTTGAATTTTATCACCGAATTCCCGGTGGATCTTCTCTTCCAAATAGTGTGTGGTAAATATTGATGTTGCATCTGAGCCTTCACTCAATTCTTTAAACATACCGAGATACTCTTTATGTAAATACGAAAAAAAATAACAACGTCCCCGCTTTATGACATTCTCTTCAATAAAATTACAAATTTCTTTATAAACAGTTTCATGTATCTCTCGAGAGATGTGCCATGAAGTACGGACAGGACTTTTCACCAATGATCGTTTTTTATTCCTGAAATGTTTGTCGACAAACATTATGGTAATATACTTCACGAGATGAAATATTTTGTATTTTTGTTAAAGTTTCATTATAAATTTCAGTTTCTGGCTTTAATTGTGATAAGATGCTTATTTGAAATTGATCTTTGCTTGTAGTACGCAATGGTTCATTTTTAGACTTGAACTGCTTTTTTTTTTATTACAAAAAAAAAAAAACACAAATTCAGGTTTGCTGAAGCCACGGTATCAGAAGTTTGAACCATTGAAGATTCTGTAGAATCTTCCAATGGTCTTTCCTCGACCGGCTGATCTACTTCAGCGTCAATATTTTTTTCTACAAATTCATTTGCCTCAGAAACATTCACGTTACTCAAAACAGAATCTTTTACCATTTTATTATCAACTATTGAGCTATCGGCTGATGTTGATGGTTGTTCAGCTGCAAACGAGGACGTACTCTGTAATGGAATTTTTTTATTAGCATCTGTTGAAAAAAATTTTTTTTTTAAAGCTGTAAACGTCTTGTAACAACTACTATGATACCCTGAATCGAAAATTTCCTTCGGTAAATTTAGATCATTGTACTTTAATTTATGAAATTTTCGTAACCTCAAAATTTTTCGACATTTTGCCATAGTCTCTTCCGAAAATATTAATATTTTTTCAGTTTTTGACGTGCCACAAAAAACACACTGCATTTTTTCTATATATTAAATAGATAATAGCCCAATCAACAAAATAAAATAAAGCAACACTATGTACTTTATAAAATTCACGAAACACGAGGAGGCATCTGTGATCTGTATGAAGGTTAACAAATAAACTAAGAATGTCCGGCGTCTGACAAAAACCGTTAGGGTAGGGGTTATAACACAGCCCTCTCAGATATAAATTTTTCGAATGTTAGTAGCTATGAGAAAAAATACTATAGGCTAGAATAATAAGTACAATAGTAATACATTGGTGTTAGAAGAAAGATAGCTATATGCATACATCTAACCGGGTAGTATCTCAGATCTTGTTATCTGCTGATGTTTATACGCAATGAATACGTCTGCCGTTATCAATATAAGTTTTTAAGACTATAATAAATAAAATATATTGATGGCAGATCTGGTCAATTAATTTCAAAAAATTTTTTTTTTAACATTTTCAAAATTGTCTGCCACAATACTAAACGCGTGATAATGGTCTGCCATTGTTATTTTCCGGTAATAATAATAATATATTTTCAAATATCAAAACGGCAGACATGGTCAAATGCATTGAACTTCATTGAATTCCGGAGTGTACTCCTCTTCCTTGATAATTTCGAACTTCGCTCCATACTTCACTAGAATTTGAGAAATCTCAATATTGTTTGTGCCTAACACAGCCAATAGTATAGAGAAGAACGTTGTTCACCGCATCCTTGATCGATGATGGCATTGTGATTCAATAACAATAATTCAATCACAGGCACATTCATTAATAAAACTGCCAAGTTTAACGAAGAGCAGTTGCACAACCCCAATGGTAATTTGGCTGTGTAAGCTACCAAATTTACGTCAGCTCCTGACTTGACTAAAAACTCGGTGAATATCATAGGTGTCACTTTCAATGGCTCGGTGAAGTGGTGGCAGAGTTTCATAATGGCTTGGCATTATATTGATGACAGCTCCAGAAAACACTAGCTTCTTCACGACATCAAGCTTCTTTTCCTTGATCGCCATATGAAGCGCAGTTCCCAAAAAATTAGTGTTTTGATATTCAACTCAACGTTATATCTTTAAAAACGTCAATATAGGGGCCTCAATGTACAAAAATCCAGGTCTACCCTGATAGCCATTTCATAATATAACTTTCAGATAACCTAGTGCTGCGAATTATAGATAACTTGACGAAAAGTAGTTGACAATAAGTATTATCTACAAGTTATCGTAAAGTTATGGTCAATTTTACTTCAACGAATTGTATTGAAACAATTGTCGTTAAGTTACCGAAATTTTCTATTCAAGCTGATTAAAAGCTTTTTAACTCTCGACTTGAAATTTTACTAATTTTTTGACAAGCACACAGATTTAAAATTAATAAAATTCGCTATATCATTCTAGTTATCTTCTTACAAAAATAAACATTAATCGTTTTGGGAAAAAATTTTTAACATGATTAAATTTGATGTCAGACTTTAAAATAAATATTGATAGTTGAATTTTTGATCATAACAAAAAATTTCATTCTATACTATGTAAAAATTTTTTAATTATATCCAAAAATTTTCAGAGTATAGGGATAAATATAAAAATAAAAAATCAAATCAATTATGTTTAAATAAATAAAATATTTTATTATTTACACTAAAAAATTTAAATCTAGATTATATTCACAAATTTACAATATTATTTACATACATTCATACAATTATTGACTCAAAAGTTTTAAATCTTCGTCATTCAAATACTTAAAAATATTTCTAATAACTAAATTTGGTAAATACATATACAAAATATGGTACAACTCTGTTGCATTATTCAACAGCTCTTTTCTCTCAACCGCTCTTCTTAATTTTTCAATCATAATGCTACCATACACCGGAAATTCATCTAATACTGCCTCTTTGTTAAAACAAAAGTCTGAATATCTTAAGCCTACAGCTAATCTATGTAAATTTTTAGCTACTACATCGAAATAATTAAAATTACTGTTACTTATTTTTTTGGTTTTCAATTCATTTATTTCGTTCTCGCATTTCTTACGGAACGATTTAAAACGCTCATTATTTACAGCTTTTAAATTCCTTTCGTTAACATATAAACCGGCTGCGGATAACTTGATGATATGATCCTCTATACTAATTTGTGACAAATAAGTCAAAAAAAATCCTTTATGGGGCATTCACTTATATTGGTGTACATTTACTTGGTGAATCTTATCTACAATTTTTTGGAAGTTCCTTTTTTTAATCTCCAGTCGACACCGCGAAATAAATTTTTAAATGTCAAATTTTTGTCAAATAAGTTAAAAATCACCCTCTATCGATTATGGGTCTGGAAATCTTCCATAGAGTCTCCTCTATGATATCTATGAGTTTCTTTTCTTAATCTTCAGTTGACACCGAGAATGGAATTTTTTTTTCGTCTCTGTATTTTTCTGTGCCTGCCGTTCGTCGAATCCGTGGGTTGCGTGCGCGCGACAGAGAGGTCCAACCGCTACTTGTTGTTTTTTGCGCTATCTCCGAAAATATTCATTTTATCAAAAAAATGATAAGGACATTTTTTGTTGGTTTTTCAATTTCAAAACTTTTTTTACAAATAAACTTCCTCGTCAAATCAATCGTTCCTGATTTATATTGTTTTAAACAATTAAATTGTTATTAACAATTAAACTTACCATTGGCGACCAAAATAACCTAGTTTATCACGAACCTCGGCAAAAAATACGTAAATATCATTAATCAAAATCCGGGGACCTAAAAGTGCATACGGGATTCCCTCTTTAGCCGAGGGACTACGAGTGGACACCGCGAATTGAATTTTTTAATGTTAAATTTGTGACAAATAAGTCAAAAAAATTCCTTTATGGGGCATTCACTTGGTGTACATTCACTTGGTGAATCTTATCTACAATTTTTGGAAGTTCCTTTTTTTAATCTCCAGTCGACACCGCGAAATAAATTTTTAAATGTCAAATTTTTGTCAAATAAGTTAAAAATCGCCCTTGATGAGGCTGTAACTCGGTGTCCATGGGGTTGATCAATTGATTGTGGGCTTGAAAATCTTCTGTAGGGTCCACTCTACAATTTCCATGAGTGTCCTTTCTTAATCTTGAGTGGACACCGAGAATTGAATTTTTAAATGTCAAATTTGAGACAAATAATTCAAAAAACGCCACTTGTGGGGCTGTTGCTCGGTGTCCATGAGGTTGATCGATCGATTATGGGTCCGGAAATCTTCTGTAGAGTCTACTCTATGATTTCCATAAGTTTCTTTTTTAATCTTCAGTGTTTACCAAGAATTGAACTTTTTTTCGTCTCTGTATTTTTCTCTGCCTGTCGTCCGTCGCTAGAGTCCGTGAGTTGTGTGCGCGCGACAGAGAGGTTCGACCGCTACTTGTTGTTTTTTGCGCTATCTCCGAAAATATTCATATTTTATCAAAAAAATGATAAGGACATTTTTTGTTGGTTTTTCAATTTCAAAACTTTTTTTACAAATAAACTTCCTCGTCAAATCAATCGTTCCTGATTTATATTGTTTTAAACAATTAAATTGTTATTAACAATTAAACTTACCATCGGGGAGAAAAATTACCTAATAGTTTTTCGTGAATCCAGGGACCTAAAAGTGACTAGAAATATTTTATGAATTCATATTTTAACGATTAGAAATGATTAAAAATTTTTTGATCATTTTGAATCATTTTCAATCATGTTTTAATAATTAAAAATCATTTAAAATGATTAAAAAGTTTTAATCATTTCAAATCATTCTGTTTAATCAGGGACGACTTAATTTCACACTCTAAAAAAGGCAAATTTTTAATTTTTTTTTTTTTTAAATTGGGGTTCATATGGAAGATACACATATAAATGAAGTAATTTTTCTGTGCCACTGATTTCAAATAAAAATTGTGGCTTCCATACTGCACACAGACTGCTAAGTCTGATGTGCATCAGATAACTCCGCTATTTGTTAACTTATATTGTTGTTTAATATGAAAAAATACTCATAAATATATGGATAAAATAACCTGATAGTTTCAATAAATAATATTAATTTAAACATTTATTTATTTATAAATTAAATAAGACTAATTGATTTTTCCTTAACTTTAACAAATTTCCAGAATCTCTTAGTGAAATTTTAAATAAGGATTTAGATCCTTACTTAAGGAACAATAGATCTTTGCATTTATTGTCAAAAATAATACTCTTTTGTTAAATGATAATAACATTTTAGAACCAGGTATGAAAAAAATGTTTGGAAATCTTATATACCTAATAATGCCTAAAAAAATCCCATTATCTTCGACGCGGTAATTAATATTTATCCATGAGAATTGTAATTAAGAGAATGTAGCCTACTGTAATGTATGCCTGTAAAAAATTTTTTCTGCATTAAATTTATTGATTTGAGAAGTAAAGGGATCGTTTAAGTAAACTCAGTGGTAATTTAATATTTCAATTTATTAATACTGAAATATTACACGGGTCACGTACACAGAAAAAAAAAAGGTTCACTTAAGACAAGAAAATATTTTTCTTCCTAATTATTTTCTTGAGCGAAAAAAAAATTTTTTTTTTGACACAAAAAATTTCACTTATTCCAAGTAGGGTAAATGTACCAGTAGTTGACCGATTAAGGATTTTTGGCATTTCAATTGATCGTAATTTAATTATTATACGCTAAAAAATAAAAATTTTAAGTTTATTTAAACTTTAAATATTCAAGTTTTTGATATATTCATAAAATTACATATAAATTCACATTTAAATGCGTAATAGGGGTACAACGAGTTAGTTAGTTAGTTATCGGGATTATACTCATTAAATTAATAGTTAAGAGTTAGTTATTATCTGGATTATACTCATTGTAATCTGGGATGATATCCAGTGTCATCTTGTTCTTTCCGTATAATAATATATATTCAATTTATATATGTATATATATATATAAATATTTTTTCTCGGGGTGATAAGGGAAAAATGTCAAGTTTAGTAACAAAAAAAAAAAAAATGATTTATTTTAATTGATCTTATATATAACTTTTATTCAATTAAAATAGTAAATTAAATTTTAAAATATCTAACATTAATAATACAAAAAAACTTACAAATAACATATATATATTTATATCTTAACAGTTTGTTAAATAAAATAATAAAAATTTAATAATAATATTAGCTGCTTAGCGTTGATTAAAAACGCTCTTAAAAATAAAAAATAATAATTGTTTAACAATTAAAAATAACAATGATTAAAATGACTAAAAAAAAAAATTGAATCGGTTAAAATAGTCTTAAAAATTACATCGATAAAAACTACTTTACAATTTCGTTATAGTACAATTTATAAAAAAAATATACGTTTATAAATTTATAAATATAAAGCTATGTAAGCGCAATTAAAATAATTTATAAATTTAAGACACATATCAGGCACAATAGTCGCAATATAAATTTCGTTGTTTAATTTAATTTATTTTAGCAAAAACAAATCTCAGGATTTAATTTACAATAAAAAATAATAATTATCATTTATCACTTGGTCATTTTTTGATGAGTGATCTCATCCTACTAACGCATTTGTTCATAAATTTGGACTTTTTTTTTTCAAAAATCCCCTGAAGGGACTGAAGCGACCCTTGAGGAACATTACTCGGAAATTCATTAGAAGAAATAGATTCTTCTTCATCCAATCCCGCTCCACAGCTTTTAGATTTAGATAAAGAACACTTTTCATTACTCCCATTATTATTTTCATTGCTACTATTATTATTTTCACGTCCTTGAATATCACAGCAATCAGTTAATTTATTTTTGCTCAGCTCGCTGTCCAGAGACAATTGTCTGCTCGGAAAATCGAGCTTTGCTTTAGCTTCTTTAACTGATTTTGTCCTAGGACGCGGAACGGGCAGCGCTGAAATTTTACTAGACTCTTGAAGTGAGAGAACTTCATCGAGCTTCACCGACACCGGAGATTCCTCGAGAAAATCATCGAGACTCCGTGACCGAGGCCTGGCAGCAGCAGGCTCCGATCCGTCGGTCAGTCTCTTGATCACTTTTTCAGGCTGGTCCAGCAGTTCCAGTGAGCGCGATCTTGTTGAAGACAGTGAGGGATGTCTCGCTGGTCTTTTGGGCTCTGGACTCTTCCCTGGGTTTGTGTACACAAATTTACGCGACGGTGTCGAAGGCATTCCTATTGGTCTTATTGGACTGGAAGTTTTTCTAAATCTAAAAACAAATTATTTTTAAATTTAATTATTGTTAAATTTAATGTTTTTATTTATTTGAAGATTAGGTCACATGCTAGGGATAAATCTAGGGAAGAAATTTAACTGACCTATTTTTAGTTCCCTTTACTGCATGTAAAAAATTTTTTTTTTAAGTTAATAAAATGTGTTAATTATAGAAATAAAAAATTCTTGAAATTTTTATAACAAGTTAATTATTTAAAAAAAAAAAAACAATTTTTTTTTTTTTAAATACTGAAAATTAAAATTTTAATTATTTAAATTCAAATTCATAATTTTTTATTATTTGTACATGTAAAATTTTTTTTATTATAATTTTAATGTTATAAAATTTTAAGATTTCTCTTCAATTCAATATCACTAATAAAAATTAAATTAGCCGAACTATAAAAATTTTTATAATTAAAAAAAATTAAAAGAAAAAATTCCAATTACTTTATCATACTAAAGTTTGCTGATATTTTTAATTTTTTTTTTATTTATTAAATTAGAGCTAAAAAATATTTTTTTTTAATTGCACTTATAGTTTTTCAAGTTTTTTACAAATCAAAACTTTTTTTTTAATAAAAATTTTTAGTTGTCGGCTAACTTAATTCCATATTCTAGTATCATAAATAAAAGTAAAATTACCTATCAACTGTGGGCGGGTCATCTAGTCATTCTGAATTCTTAGCAACATCTTTATTGATAGTTTCTTTGCTAGAATCTTTATTATTCTGACTCTCATTGCTCGGTATTCTGTGATAGGCCGGCGGGTGTCGCATACTTGAACTCGCTGGTGTGCCTGGTGATGAAATGTCTTTAGAACCTAGTCGGAGGCTAGCGTCTGTTCTTACTGGTGGCATATCACCTCGCATAAACCTGAAAAAATTAACAGAAAATTTTTTTTTATTTTTATCTATACCAATATTATAAAGAGGAAAGATTTGATTGATTGACATTTTAAAAGATATAAGCTCATCCCGATGTTACACTCATTGAGACCTTTCATTTGAGTACTCACATCAATTTTTCATATATTTATATATATTATATATATATGTATATATGAAAAATATATCAAAATGCATGTGGGTATTCAAATGAAAGCTCTTGATGAGTGTAACATCGGAATGAGCTTATATCTTTAAAAATGTCAATAGTTAAGAAAGTATAGTGCAATTTAACGTAATTAAGAAAAATAACCTTGTATCTCGTGAACTATTGACATTTTTAAAGATATAAGCTCATTCTGATCTTACACTCATCAAGACCTTTCATTTGAGTACCTACATCAATTTTTCATATATTGCTTATATCTTTAAAAACGTCGATATTTAAGAAAGTACAGTGCAATTTAATATAATTAAGAAACGACCTTGTATCTGGTGAACTATTGACATTTTTAAAGATACAAGCTCACCCCGACATTACACTCATCGAGAGCTTTTATTTGAGTACCCACATTAATTTTTCATATATTTATATATATTATATATATGTATATATGAAAAATATATCGAAAATGCATGTGGGTACTCAAATGAAAGCTCTTGATGAGTGTAACATCGGGATGAGCTTATATCTTTAAAAACGTCAATATTTAAGAAAGTACACAGCACTTTAACAAAAGCCATTATTTAATAAAGCAAAATTTTATTTATTAATAGTTCACAAGTCACTTGACTGCAAGGTTGCTAGTAAAAATAAAAAAAATTCTAACCTTTCTAATTTGTCAACGCAAGCATCTTGATAGTCATGGATCCACCTGACACCATTAAAGTGGCAAACAGCACGCATATCTTCCGGTAGCTCTTCAACTTGCGGCCACTGAAAATTATCAATAATCGGAATAATATTACACTGCGACTGTAACGCAGCAACTATCTCCCGATGAACCCAATCCTTGCCCTCGTCATCATTAATGCACCTCCCAAGTGCGTCAGTCGTAAGAACCAGCAAAAAGTGTTTAGCCTGTTTAATACTCTGCAGCAAATTATTATCAAACTTTCCCGCTTCAAGTCTCTCGACGTCTAAAAATACGGAGAACCCGCGCAATTGCAAGTGTACTTTAAGAAGACTAGCCAGCTGAGAACCATTAGACCTTCGGTAACTTACAAAAACATCAAGATTTTTGTCTGTAGTTTCAATTTCATCTGTCGGCGATGCTTTTTTCGAGTTCAAATGTCTCTTGATAGACTCCATTATTTTAACCCTGTGAATACTATTAACAATTCCGCATTCCGTCAACAATTGGTCTTCGGAAATGCTGTCGAGGTATGCTTCATCAATGCCCGCATTGAGAAAATTATAAGTATAAATTGCAAATTCTTTGCCTGCTAGAAGTAAAGTTCCGTTTAAATTTCCGGAATCTTTGCTGCTGTAGTCTGCAATTTTTTTAAGATTTTGAAGTTCGCGGGTGAACCTCCTCCTCTTGATCCCATTGGTCAGCCCAATATCTTCCTTCAAATTTTCTTCCGTCAATTGCAAAAGCAAATCTCCATCAACCCGACTGTCCACAAAATTCTGAACATACTCCGCAAAGCCAATTTGCTTTACCCACTCCTTAACATCATCAGTCGACCAGAGCGGCACCTGTTGGCTCAGCTTATGAGGCACTTCTTCACCCATTAGAATCAGCGCTTTAGCGGCGAACTTCGAAGCTACCGCGTTCGGACAACTGGCGACCTTTTTTAGCGGTTCTATAACCCCAATTTCATGGAAGATATCCGTTTTTCCCTGTTCCTTTTTGATCCCCGCTTCCATACAGAAGTGGAACGCCGCAAGACTGCGCGCTTCTTCGCGCTTAGAGCTCAGAACTGGAACTAACTTCTCTAACCACTGCTTCGCTTGTCCGTGGGCATGCGCGAGGTTAGATTTAGCGAACTCTGAAGGATTGTGGGAGGTTAGGAACGGTTCTATGAGGTCCAAAACTCCTCCGTCTTTAACCGAAGCTTCAATTTCTTTGTTAGCGACCAGAACGGCGACAGCTAAACACGCGTAGTACCGAACATTCTCGTCGTTTTGCAGCGCCAAAGGGAACGTCCAAGTGGGAACCTTGGAACTGATCATGCGCTCTTGGTTCTCGGCACCGCCGTAAAGCGCTAGATTCACTATTGCACTTGCGCAGTGCCGCAGAACTTCTACGTCCGCCATTCTGCAAGCGAACACAAGCTGTTCCAAGCCACCTAGAGCAATTACTTTGCTGCAAGTGTTCTGGCTGTGCTTAAAAAGGTGCTCTAGAATTCCAATTCCGACTCTGGCGTAATTCAGGTCTTTGTTTTTGGGGTTCATGCACAAACAAGCGACGCTTACTACCGCGTCTAGACCGTGTTCGACGACGTAAGCGCGATTTTCGGTGATCAAACATTGTTCCAAAAGAGTCGCGGAGGAAAATTTAAGCCTCTGGTCGTCCCCGCGGCAGTTTTTTATCATGAAATCCAACCCACCGCGTATCCTAAGGGTGTTGCAGAGGGTGAGACCCAATTCGTGACCGTGGGTGGGAACTGACCAGGCTTTCTGGATAATACTGTGGATCTTGTCCAGCAAACTGGGCGCTTTAGAAGAAGTTTTTAGAAGGTCTATGAATTTTTCTACTAATGCGGAGTACTTCTGACGAGCTTTTTCGACGTCTTGAGCGGTCGCGTTGGTGCAGAGTTGGGTTAAGTCGTCTAGAGGGAGAGCTAGTAGGTCGTCTTCGGTGTAAGGCCCGTTTAAAAGGTGGTTTACTGCTGATGCGGCGGTTGTTAAGGCTGCGATAGACGAGCTTACTTCTTTTGAGGAGGCTATTGAGAAACTTGATTGGGAGGAGGACATGTACTTGTTTGATATTCCGGATGATGTAACTGTTTGTCTTTGCTGCTGCGCTGCCATCGCGGTCTGAAAGTAAATAGTTTGATTAGTTGGTGAACGGTGGGTATATTAGTTATTCTAATTAACCTTCAGCCTTGAGTCGAGACTAAACTTTCGCATGGTTGGGATTAATGTTATAATAATTGTTAATCTCATGAATTTTCTAAATCACTGGTTTTCTTTTAATTTATTGAAGAAATAATTTGCCATTAATAGAAGGATTTAGTGCTATTTAATTGGATTTGGTAATAGTTACTAAATGATTTAGTAATAATCTTTTCATTACTAAATATTTAGTAATAGTTACTAAATCTATATTATGAGAATAAGACAAATTTTGTCAATTTATAATAAGTATTTAGGCTGCATTTGAAAATGCTCCATTTTTAGATACATAATTAAGAAATGACCTTGTATCTTGTGAACTATTGACATTTTTAAAGATATAAGCTCATCGCGATGCTAGACTCATCGAGACCTTTCATTTGAGTACACACATCAATTTTTCATATATTTATATATTTTATATATATATATTATATATATGTATATATGAAAAATATATAAAAATGCATGTGGGTACTCAAATGAGAGGTCTTGATGAGTGTAACATCAAGATGAGCTTACATCTTTAAAAATATCAATAATTAAGAAATGACCTTGTATCTTGTCAACTACTGACATTTTTAAAGATATAAGCTCTTCCTGACATAATACTCATCGAGATCTTTCATTTGAGTACCCACATCAATTTTTCATATATTTATATATTTTATATATATATATGTATATATGAGAAATTTATAAAAATGCATGTGGGTACTCAAATGAAAGCTCTTGATAAGTGTAACATCGGGATGAGCTTAGATTTTTAAAAATGTCAATATTTAATAAAGTAAAGCGCAATTAAATATAATTAAGAAACGACTTTGTATCTTGTGAACTATTGACGTTTTTAAAGATATAAGCTCATCCCGATGTTACACTTATCGAGACCTTTCATTTGAGTACCCACATGCATTCTGATATATTTGTCATATATACATATATTTAATATATATATATATATATATATATATATATATATATATATAAAATATAATTTTTATTAATTAAGAAATGACCTGTCTTGTGAAATATTGACAATTTTAAAGATATAAGCTCACCCCGACATTACATTAATCGAGACCTTTCATTTGAGTACCCACATCAATTTTTCATATATTATATATGTATGTATATATGAAAAATATACTGTAGATATTTGTAATAACTGTTATCAGTATCATCGCGTAAATTACTCGTTTCTATTTTATTTAAATACTTTGAATTTTTTTTTTCATTATTATTATTTAAAAAAGAATGATTGATTAACTGGGGAGTTGTAATAAAAAAAAAGATATTTATGGGACGTCAGGTACGAGCAGACGATGTGGTTCGTAGTACAGATACTACCGAAGAAATTCAAGTCGAGACATCCGACATCTCAAATAAATTTAAATTTTTTGAGACATATAAAGAACCGGAGAAAGAAAGAAAGCAGTTCAGAATAACGCCACCACGTGATGGACAAGTTAAGGTTTGTGTGCGTATGTGTGATGGGATAATTAAGATTTTGTTTTAATGGTGACTACGCAATTAAATAATACTGCATATACATTCAAATAATTACTATTATTGCTGTGTGTTACGCGTTTGCCGGTTTCATCTAACAGCACAATTAACCCTATCAAGATTATTATTATTTCCCATAATTACAATCTTCTTTATGATATTATTATTACATAATGACTTTGTGTGATTGAGTCTATTTGCAAGTTAATATTTTATTTTTTTTTTTATTAATATTATTTGTTATAATTATGGCCAGGATTTTTTATTTAATAATAACAATAATAATTAAATTTTTTATATATTGGTCATATAAAAAAATTTTTTTTAAAAGTTTAAAATTTAATTTTGTAAAAAAAAAGTATTATAGATTTTTTTTAAGACCAATAAAAAAAGCCGCAATTTTTTAATTAATTTTTTTATAATTAGTATAAATTTTAATAATTAATTATGAACTTTAATTAATAAATTACGGTAAAAATATTGGCTGTAAAAAAAAAATTACAAGAAAATTTTTTTGTAAAAAATTAAATTTTTAATTTAAATAATAAAAACAAAAATCTTGGATTTAATAATAATGTTTTGCTATGAGTTCAAAGAAACAATTATGATAATACTCAATAATTATTTTTATTTTATTATTATAAAACTAGGTGAATTCACCGGAACGTGAAATTTATCGGGATCCGGATGTAATACGAGCGGACGACAAAGTAGACCAGCTAGTTCATACAGACACGACAAAAAAAATGCTCTCCATATTCAGGCAGATGGAGGAGAAGGCCACGAAAGAAGATGTACCTGATGGACCAAAGCCGCTGAAGCGTTTCACACCGCCGCCGGAGGATAAGTATGCTAAGCTGACTGCTTCTGACACCGACGAGGAAGAGGACGGCGAGGAGGAGGAGGAAGATGGAAACGAGGATATCACCGAGGAGGAAAGAAGAAATCCTAACTACGTTCGGGCTTCCGATAAGGTAATCCTAATGCCATTAATTACTCATTTTTACAACGCATAAGTAGATAAATATTTCTTCAATGAATCACTCTATCTACCTACTGATAACTGGCTAGAATTATGTTGTGATTCAATTATTCTTACTTATCTAAAATATTCAAATAGTTATTTTGAGAATTAATCACCTCAGATAAAGATAAGAGTAATGATTATCTAATATTATTATGAGAGTAAGCAAAATGTTGTGAACAGTGTATTTATGTGACAAAATGGGTTTTTATGGTTAAATTTGTATTGATAAGTATTTAGGCTGCATTCGAAAATGCTTTATCTCTAGATACATAATTAAAAAATGACCTTGTATCTTGTAAACTGTTGACATTTTTAAAGATATAAGCTCATCCCGATGTTACACTCATCAAGAGCTTTCAGTTGAGTGCCCACATGCATTTTTGATATATTTTTCATACATA